CTACTGAATATCACGTTCAGTAGGCGCGCAATGGTTTTTGAACGCAGCCATTACGTGGTCGTGATGGCGCAGCTATTGATGACGCGTGTGGTGTGGTTGGCTAGACATGCCTACTAATTCGGTCCAAATTTTAATTAATTCATAAAAAATCAATTAGGCATCCAATTAAGTCAAATTTAGTTTCAGATTGCATTGTCTTCATGTCTTGACCCACGTGCCAACTGTGAATCGTATCGGTCAAGTAGAACTGTCCGAATTTTCACTCCTGCGTTTCTATCTAGACTGACGACAGACAGAATGACGAGGAAGTGAGTTAAATAAAAGCTTGTAAAAATCAGGGGTCGGCAACCCTTAATGACGAAAGAGCCAAACGTTAAAACTTACAAAACTTACCATTTTTTAAAGAGTCACTAACATTTTTATTTCAATGTTTTATAACTTGATTAGGATTAGGTATATTAGGTGGTGTGGTCTTGTTGTGGTTGTGATGTGGTCGTGCTGTGGTGTGGTCGTGGTGTGGTCGTGGTCGTGGTGCTGTGTGGTCGTGGTGTGGTCGTGGTGTGGTTGTGGTGTCGTCGTGGTCGTGGTTGTGGTGTGGTCGTGGTGTGGTGTGGTTGTGGTCGTGGTACTGTGTGGTCATGGTGTGGTTTAGGTCGTGATGTGGTCGTAGTGTGGTGTGATCATGGTGTGGTCGTGTGTGGTGTGGTCGTGGTCGTGGTGTGGTGTTGTCGTGGTGTGATCGTGGTGTGTTCGTGGTGTGGTTGTGGTGTGGTGTGGTTGTGCTTGTAGTGTGGTTGTGGTGTGGTCGTGGTGTGGTCGTGGTGTGGTCGTGGTGTGGTTGTGGGGTGGATTTGGTGTTGTCGTGGTGTGGTCTTGGTGTGGTCGTGTTCGTGGTGTGGTCGAGTTCGTGGTGTGGTCGCGATGTGGTGTGGTGTGGTGTTGTCGTGGTTGTGGTGTGGTTTGGATGTGGTGTGGTCGTGGTCGTGGTTTGGTCGTGGTTTGGTCGTGGTGTGGTCGTGGTGTGGTTGTGGTTTGGGTGTGGTGTGGTCGTGGTGTGGTTGTGGTTTGGGTGTGGTGTGGTCGTGGTCGTGGTGTGGTTGTGGTTGTGGTGTGGTCGTGTTCGTGGTGTGGTCTTGGTGTGGTCGTGGTGTGATGTGGTCTTGTTGTGGTGTTGTCGTGGTCGTGGTGCTGTGTGGTCGTGGTGTGGTAGTGGTGTGGTAGTGGTGTGGTCGTGCTGTGGTTGTGGTCGTGGTGTGGTCGTGATGTGGTTGTCGTGTGGTTGTGGTGTGTTCGTGGTGTGGTCATGGTGTGGTCTTGGTGTGGTCGTGGTGTGGTGTGGTCTTGGTGTGGTGTGATCGTGGTGTGGTCTTGGTGTGGTGTTGTCGTGGTGTGGTTGTGATAAAGCCTCCCATTCCGTGTTCCTGTGATTGATCGTGTCACCCTGTGAACTTTGAAAAACAAAAAAAACAAAAACTCGGCAAATTTAATTTCCGTTTAACGGTTCAAACAAAATCACGTTTGTTCTCGTGGACTTACGAGATTGTAGCGTTAATTCCGGTTGGAATAGGATTCTTGTCACCATTTGTATTTGGTTCCTTGGTTGAAATATTAAACATATTAGTACTCGTAAAGAAACTCTCAGTGAATCATCTCCAAGCAAATTATGTAGGACAAAGACTCACGTTCGATATAGATCACTTACATATCATAATGATTAGTAAGAAACCTATCAATATAAACAGTTTCACGTGATTTCATTAATAGCGTTACTTTTCTATTTAAAACAAAAACAAAAATGAACTTTACTTTCGTACATAGGTATAAACTTAATTCGTGGTCCTAATATACGTTTAAAATTACGAGTCTGTAATTGTTAGGACGGGGACGGCTAACACGAGAATCTCGAGTTCGAATCCGGGTTCAAATCAGTGGAGCGTTCTGAGTCCACCCAGCTCTGATGGGTACCTAACTCACGTTTAGGGAAAAAAAGCAGCTGAGCCTTGTGCTAACCACATTATCCCTTCATATGTCGAGGTCTCTGAAGCAGATGAACTCTACTTCATCTACCCCGCGTGTTTTGGGAACGAACGGGAAATGATGATGATGAATATTTAGGTCATATGCGCAGAAATATGTGGTAAAAATACTAAATTAGCGGTTCCCAAACCGGTAGACTTTAGAGGAGAAAGGTATAGTGCACTAATAGGTACTTAGTTAAAGAAAGTAAAATATACAGAAAAAATATTAATTCTTTTTTAAAGAGGTGCTATTGTCCTTCTTTTCTATTCAATCTTTACGAACATGTATCATCAGCTTGTCTCCAACATCATTTTGTGATTGTATCATCACTCTGTAACATCATTGTGTGATTGTGTCATCAGCTTGTCTCCATTATCATTGTGTGATTGTATCATCAATTTGTAACATCATTGTGTGATTGTGTCATCAGCTTGTCTCCATTATCATTGTGTGATTGTATCATCAATTTGTAACATCATTGTGTGATTGTGTCAACCGTTTGTAACATCATTGTGTGATGATTGTAACAAAAGTTTGTAACATCATTGTGTGATTGTATCATCAGTTTGTAACATCATTGTGTGATTGTATCATCTGTTTGTCTCCAACATCATTGTGTGATTGTATCATCATTTTGTAACATCATTGTGTGATTGTATCATCAGATTGTAACATCATTGTAACATCATTGTGTGATTGTATCATCATTTTGTAACATCATTATGTGATTGTATTATCAATTTGATCTAACATCAACGTGTGTCTGTAACATCATTTTGCCTTTAACATCAACGTGGGCCTGTAACATCATTTTGCCTGTAACATCAACATGTGTCTGTAACATCATTTTGCCTGTAACATCAACGTGTCTGTAACATCATTTTGCCTTGAACATCATTGTGTGATTGTGTCATCAGTTTGCCTGTAACATCATGGTGTTATTGTATCATCATTTTGCCTGTAACATCAACATGTGTCTGTAACATAATTTTGCCTGTAACATCAACGTGTGTCTGTATCATTATTTTGCCTGTAACATCATTGCGTGATTGTACCATCAGCCTGTAACATCATTGTGTGATTGTATCAGCCTGTAACATCATTGTGTGATTGTATCATCAATGTGGGACGTGTATCATCAATGTGGAGCTTGTATTATCAGTATCAAGATTGTCAACGAGGCCCAGCCCTTAACCACTCCCAGCCTTGATGCCAGATAAGACTAAAGCCTCTATCCCCCACTAATCGGGTATTGATTGCCTTCTTGTCGACTCACCAGAAACATCAACGCTCTGTTTTGCATCAAACGGTTTTTTTTTAAAACCAACCCGTACCATTAACTCTTCTAGAATACCCCCCCCCCCCTCCTTTTCGTCTCCATGGATATTCACCACGTTGAAATCTCGCAGATGGTGTCGCCTGCTCTGGTAAATCCCGCAATTTCTCGTGTAATCTCGTACGTCCCTGCTGATGATTGTGAGATTTGGGACGCTGTCCAGAATTTTTACATAGTCTTCTGAATGCGTCCAGGTTTTGTCTTTAAATAACGCTCTGGGTTCAATTCCTGGAGTAGCACGTTTTTTTTTTTTTTTTTTTGTTTTTTTCAATTTTTTTTTTTTTTTTTGTTTAATTCAAAACTCTCCAAACTCTCGAAATAAACATTGTTAACTTGTTTCAAAAGCGTTTCCTTTGCGTTCTTCGGCGTGTATGTCTAACGAAGTAGAGTTCATCTGTTTCAGTGACTTCAACATAAAGGGTATGCGTCCACCCGCCTTTACTTTCCCTAACGTTATTCAGGTACCCATTTAAGCTGAGTGGTCTGGGACTTACTAAGGAATGACTCAATGCGGGATCCGAACTCGACATATTCGGGTTAGCAGTAGTGCACTTTACCATCCGACCACGTCCTCCCACAATCTAATTTATAGATTTAAAAAAAAAATGTTTTTTTAGAAACCATAGTTCCATATTTTTAGACTCCAATTTCGGTCAATAACTTCCGATCACCACCCAAAATATTCTAAATTTCCTCTAAAACCTATACCATATAACGTCGTCTTTGGCCGGGTTCTGTATACTTGAATTTTATGACCCATATCTGCATTGCTAACAATATTTTTATGCCCCATATCTGTATTCTTGACTTGAATTTTATTACATATTTCTGAATTCTTATCAAGATTTTCATGACCAATGTCTGTGTTCATAACTTGTTCTTTTTAAATGACCCATGTCTTAAATCATAATTAGATTTTTTATAACCCATCTCTGAATTCTAAATTTGATGTTTACGACCTATGTCTGAATTCTAAATTTGATGTTTACGACCCATGTCTGAATTCTAAATTTGATGTTTACGACCCATGTCTGAATTCTAAATTTGATGTTTACGAACCATGTCTGAATTCTAAATTTGATGTTTACGACCGCCGTCTGAACTCTAAATTTGATGTTTACGACCCATGTCTTAACTCTAAATTTGATGTTTTTGATCCATGTCTGAATGCCTAACTTGATGTTTACGACCTATGTCTGAATTCTAAATTTGATGTTTACGACCCATGTCTGAATTCTAAATTTGATGTTTACAAACCATGTCTGAATTCTAAATTTGATGTTTACGAACCATGTCTGAATTCTAAATTTGATGTTTACGACCCACGTCTGAATTCTAAATTTGATGTTTACGAACCATGTCTGAATTCTAAACTTGATGTTCACGACCCATGTCTGAATTCTAAATTTGATGTTTACGACCCATGTCTGAATTCTAAATTTGATGTTTACGACCCACGTCTGAATTCTAAATTTGATGTTTACGAACCATGTCTGAATTCTAAATTTGATGTTTACGACCCACGTCTTAATTCTAAATTTGATGTTTATGACCCATGTCTTAACTCTAAATTTGATGTTTACGACCCACGTCTGAATTCTACATTTGATGTTTACGACCCCTATGTTTATTTCACATTTTCCAGGATGACAAAGACTTTGACAAGCCCCCACCTGTGGAGATACAGTTCGCCACGAGGCCACACCTGACCAAGTTGTCCAAGAAAGAGGTACGCTAATGCTGGCATATAACTCAACCCGGCACCTACACAGTCAAAAACGTTTAGACAAGCATTAAAAACGTTTTATAAATTATCTGGAAGAAAATCATCCAAATTTTCTCTCTTTAGTAAACTCCTTGGTCGCTCAAGGCATCGTCTATACAAAAAATTACATCACTGCTTTTAATTTACGTTTATATATATATATATATATATATATATATATATATATATATATATATATATATATATATATATATATATATATATATATATATATATATGTGTGTGTGTGTGTGTGTGTGTGGTCTGTGTGTGTGTGTGTGTGTGTGTGTATGTGTATGTGTGTGTGTGATAAGCTTTTTTGTTTCATTTTAGACTAATTAAGACTAAGGTTAGGATTTAACCAGTCTGGGTTTACCCAGATTTGCACCGACGCTCCAATAGTTGATTAGCCTAGGGATTAGACACCCCTCCCCCCTGTGTTAGGGCTTGCATATATTATAAATATATATATCAGTATACATATAATAGAAATTATTCGTTGTTCCCTAGTTTATGTTTTGGAGATCTTGCAGTTCTCTGAGCCTATGAAAATATGAAAACATACCCAACTAGTCTCCCGTACTTTCTGTTTTGTGAGCTATGAAAATATACCCAACCAGTCTTCCGTACTTTCTGTTTACAGTTTGAGCTACTGTACATCGAAGTTTTGTACACGATCAAGCACAAGATCGGGACAACTTCTGGCGGACACTCGCCATACATACAAGACCTGTTCCAGTATGCCAAGGAGTCGTTTGGGGTCAGTCCTGAGGACCATGCCAGGCTGCTGGCTCGGGCCACGGAGGAAAAGGTGGGTTTTACATCAATGGTGGGGTTTTATGGTTGTGGGGGGGGGGTGTTTTATGGTAAGAAAAGGTGGGTTTTACATCAATGGTGGGGTTTTATGGTTGGGGGGGTATGGTAAGAAAAGGTGGGTTTTACATAAATGGTAGGGTTTTATGGTTGGGGAGGGGTGGTTTTTTATGGTAAGAAAAGGTGGATTTTACATCAATGGTGGGGTTTTATGGTAAGGATGGGTGATGTTTTATGGTAAGAAAAGGTGGGTTTTACATCAATGGTGGGGTTTTATGGTAAGGAAGGGTGCGGGTTTATTATAAGAAAAAGTAGGTTTTACATTAAAGGTGGAGTTTCATGAATAGGAAAGGTGGGTTTTACGTCAAAGGTGGGATTTTATGGCAAAGAAGGGTGGGTTTTTACATCAAATGCGAGGTTTCATTTGAGAAAATGTGGGGTTTTATGGTATGTCCACATAAAAGAAAAGGCGTGCAGCGATGGAAGTGGGTTATACACAGTAATAAAAGAGGAGTTTCACAGGAAGATTAAAGGTGGGTTTCACATGGAGAGATATGGATTTTATCTGGGGAAAATAGAGGGAGTTTACGTTTGTAAAAACGTAAGTTTTAAGTTGAAGATAAAGGTTGGTTTTACCTATTTAAAAAATAGGTGGGATTTGCGAGTGAAATTGATGAATTCTACGTTTACAAAGGTGGGTTTTACATGGAAGACTATGTGAATTTCAAATTTTAGAAACTATGTTTCTGATATGGAAGAAATGAGTCGTTATACATTGAAGTAAATGTGGGTTTTACGCGGAAGGAAGGGCGGTGAAGATGTGGGACACACAAGAGATGATGGTTTTCACAAATTTAGTTGTACAGCAGGGTACCATGGTGCTCTTCGCCTGACTAAAGCCATTAATTAGATCCAGCTAATCAAAAGAATTAATTTCATCTTTCACTTATTAATCCACGCTACCATTGTCGTGTCTACCATTTCAATCAACATTTCGTCATTAAGTAAAATTCAGATGTTAGATAAATTTTTAAAAAGGGGAAACTAAATAAAAGCTGCAAACGTTTTATTTTAACAATTTATAATTTGAACTAATGTTTACTCAATTTTACATAATTTATTTTTCACCATTTTAAAAGCCTGTAAACTAAATGACTAAATTCATATCAATTTTAATTTTTGCTAAAGAACATTGCAAGAAAAAATGTTTTTAAAATGTTTACTTTACAATGATTTTTCAATTTGATATAACAACTTAAGACAAATTTATTATAAAGCTTTTTAATAATTGCAAAAGACATAAACTAGCTCTTATCATGCCAAACTATTTTAATTTGACGTTCAAGAACTCGAGATCGTTTTACGCGGCTTACTCATTATTCAAATCACGTTCAAAGGAAGGCAGATAACTCCAATCAGCCGTAGAGTAGAGCTCTTCACAATCTGTGTTCTTAGTGACGGCGGAAGTCACGAAATCTCCTCCGACAAGCTCATAGTTTGTGTGTGTGTGTGGGGGGGGGGGGGGGGAAGCAAGAAATATTTGATTGGTTTATTAATGAGTTCTTGGTACACTACTTCCGCTTCTGACCGGAAGTCGGTGTTTTTTTTTTTAAATAAAAAATATAAATTGTGAAGAGGAACTTCAGTCGATTGCAGGCCGGTCGTTGTTTTTTTTTAAGTGAAAATGTTGAAGACAGAAGCTTTTAGACGAAGCGGGGATTTTTTTTCTGGATGTTTCTAGAAATAGAGTGCACAATGGGTCGGTGACAGTTTTGGCTAAAGTGGGAGGCGCATGCGTAGTTGGGCGATTTAAAAAGTGGGGGGGGGGGGGGCTGTCGACGAAATATAAGCAAATCCATGCTTATTCCTAGGGTTTTTTTAAACATTTCCAAAAATGTGTTTTTATTTTAAATATTAGAATCTAATTGTTTTGATGTATTGCTTTATTTTTCTTGCTTTGTCAATACACTTTAGAGTATAAAACCAGCCACAAACTTTACGACAAAAAATTAGCATATCTTGATGATGGAATACCTTAAAAATGGCAAATCGTTAAAGAAAACAAAAGAACCTAACCCTAAACATTGAAAACACGTAATAAAAAAAACTCATATTGAAAATATTGTAACGAAAATTTAGAACGACGATTCACTTTCCTTAAAAAGTTATTACCTTAATGTACCCCAAAAACAGCGTTCTTCACAAACACAGCGTATCAAGTCCCTCAACCCCTCAAACACAAACATAGCACAACGTACCAAGTCCATACCCCCAAACCCTTGAACACAACGCAACCCTTGAACACAACACAACACAACCCTTGAACACAACACAACGCTTGAACACAACACAACCCTTGAACACAACGCAACTATTGAACACAACACCACCCTTGAAACACAACACAACACAACCCTTGAACACAACACAACGCTTGAACACAACACAACCCTTGAACACAACGCAACTCTTGAACACAACACTACCCTTGAACACAACACAACACAACCCTTGAACATAACCTTGAACACAACGCAACCCTTCAACACAACCCTTCAACACAACACAACCCTTGAACATAACCTTGAACACAACGCAACCCTTCAACACAACACAAACTTGAAAACAACATAACCCTTGAATAAAACACTTGAACACAACGCACTCCCGAACTCAGATCACTGAGGGCGATTTCTTTGGCTTGAGCCAAATGGATGACATTTCTTTCTGCTTCGGGTCGCCCAAATAAGGATTATATCACAATCTTCCTCAAAACTAGAAGACAGGAGTTTATAAAACGTTGTTGTTCTATCACCTCTACCCTAAGCCGTGGTAAGAGTGTGGTCAGACACAGTTAGAAGAGGATGGTTAGACGGTTGGTTTAGACGGAGGTTAAGTGTGGTATGTGGGTGGTTAGAGGGTGGTTAGTGGATGGTTAGAGGGTGCTTAGTGTTTCTTTAGTGGGTGTTAACAGATGTAGTGTAGCGCACACTTGGCATTTCTTCAGATTAAAATGACAAATCTTCCGCCTGAATTGTGTCTGTCTTTTTTGCTGATGTATAGGGCGGTGGGGGGAGCATGTATTGGGCGAGGGAGGGAGCTGTATTTGGGTTCTGGCTATTTTTCTGAGCTTGGCGGTCATACACACACACACACACATACACACATACACATACACACCGCTAGTATGCCACGTAACAGACATGGATTGTTGTTATATATATATATATATATATATATATATATATATATATATATATATATATATATATATATATATAACTTATAGCTATAATTTAAATTTCAAAACTAATAAATCATTTATATGTGTTATGTAAATAAGTAACTCTAAAACAGCAACAACACATAAGATAAAACGTGCTGCACCTAAAACTTGAAAACAAACATCAATACATTTAATGTGGCAGAGAACTACGTGTATGTCAGGTAAATGAGCCTACAGCTTAGCTGGCAAATCTGGCTTAACCCACCATTTTCTTGGATTATTAATAAAACAGCGCACGTGACCTCATTAAATTTGTGAGTTGTTTTTTTTTTCTTGTCTTGAAGAGTTCTCCGATATCCGTAAAAGCAGTGACAACGGAAGGGCAGTAACTCTCGCGGGGGTTTTTAAGCAGCTTTGTGGCTCCGGCGTGTAGGGAGATAACTCGAGCACACTCGATCACAGACGGTCAAAGACTAAAAGGCGGTGCCGAGAATCGTTAAAGGCTGTGTAGTTATTTTAGAAAAAAAATGAAATAAAATAAGAACGTGAAATAAAAATGGTGTATGGATCAAATATTCTAAGTCTTGATTTATTATCTTTAGTGCTGAAAAATTTTCTGTATTTCGTTTATATAATATGTGCACAATCGCTTATGTGAGGGGGGGGGGGGAAATTCATTTTCTCGCAAGTGGGCAACTAGCGGACATTTTTTAGGATCCAACTTCGTTGCGGAGCAATGTTTCTTTCAGAAGTTTTTTTTTCTCCCTTCGGGAGTGGGGGGGGGGGGGGGGTGGACAAAATTATCAAGGGAGGAGGTGGACACTGGTAAAAGCAGATATTTTCTAAGTATAAATTCTATTTCGTTCCGTGGAGATGCCTAAAGGAAACGTTGGGTCACTAGCAGTGTCGTGCCGTCCCGTGGACTCGGGGGGGGGGGGGGGGGGAACCTAGGCTAGTCCCCAAAGAATCTCAAGGTACTTCAAATTACTAGATTTCAACCAATTGGTCGGGGTCGGTGTAGTCGAGTCGGTAAAGCTCATAATTTCTAAACCGGACAGCAACTCTTCTAGAGAGGAATTTAACAACTGCAGCCTTGTTCTTGGTTGGACAAAGGCCATGGAAGCAAATCCAAAAAGGCTAAAATCGGAGTCAGCGGCCTATATGGCGCATAACAAGTTGACACGCAGAAGAAGAAGACAGACCAATTGGTGCGTTCCGCCGTGACCGCAAGTACAACATCAATCCCGTCTGTTGCGGGTTCAGGGCTGTCATTTGTTCATTGTTTTATTTTTATTTTTGTCTTTACAGGGCTCCTCAGACCCCTTGCAGCCCCCCCCCCCCCCCCATGTTGGAAGTTCCACAGCACGCCTTGCTAGTCATATGGATACTTTAACCATTTCTAAAAGTGTTAGGGTTATAGCTAGGATTAGGCTTTATGGTTTAGTGGTAATAATCATTCTTTGCGCCAAGGCAAAATCCATTTTGAGATCAATAACAAACAAAAATCATTTTTAAAAAGTAATATTTACATTCGTTTCACATTTTAATTCTACTTTTAAAACAATTCCAGCCGCCTATTGTTATTCTGAACGTGACAGTGCTGGAAGCCAGCGGTCTGGAAGCCAAAGATGCAGACGGTAAGCACTTACCTCCCCTTTCTTTTGATCTAACTTAAAACCCTTGTTACATTTTTTGTTTGGTTCTTCGATTTATTTTTTTATCTGGCCATCGGTTGTCCGTCTGATGACATTAACTACTCAGCCAGCTAGGTTTGACTTGCCATCTTGGCTGAATGCAGAACTCGGTAATAAAGGCTACATAGGGGAAGGGAAGGGGGGTGGAGACGTTGGCTTGGTGTCAAGTGTCCGCTTTGTGATGTCCGCCTACAGCCGTTTACCGGAAGTAATTCAACGGCAATTTCAAAACATGAACGACACTTGTCGATAGCTGGAATAAATTGTTCATCTTATCGTGTGACATTTTAAGTTTCTGGGTTTTGTTTGATGTTGGGGTGAGAGTTTTTCGTGTGTTTTGATGTTTTGGGATAAGAGTTTTCGTGTTTTGATGTTAGGATGATGTTCATATTGGAAGGTTTTGTTTTATATGGGGCTGGAGGGGGGGGGGGACTGGACGACTTGGTCTTGTTGTAGAAACGTTCGCTCACTAGCCTGAAAGTCGCGAGTTAGGCACCCCCCCCCCCCCCCCCCCCCCCCCCCCCCCCCCATTTTCAAAACCAGCTGGGATGGTGTGGTGCATGCTCTGGAAAAGAACGCAAAACTCAGGCGGAAACCCACGTCTAGCAAAATCGGATGCTACAAATGTTGGCTACCTCATTCCTTATGAACACAATGTCCCTTCGTATGCCGAGGTCACAGAAACAGGCGAACTTTACATCACTTGTCCCAGGGACTGTCAGGATCAAAAAGGGAATTTTACATTCCTCGTGAGCACCTCAAGAGTCGGCCATACCCGCGACAGAGCGAAGCAGAGCGAAAGAGAGAAAATTATAGATGTGTTCATGTTGCTTGTTTTAATTTTTTAACTTTTGCTATTTGATGCCAATTTGGAAGTTTCAATGAAGCTAATTTTTTACATAATTCACTTAAACTTATGATGTTTTCTTATGTATGATGTTATGTGATGGGTGCTGTTCAAGATAAGCTTGATACAAACAGCTAATCTTCCTGGATAGGTTGATGTATGTTTCTTGTATTGTGGAGGGTAACCAACCTTGGCAGCTGGTTAGAGCTAGTTTCAGTACTTTTATCTTAGTTTGGTGGCGTTACCCGGTTAGGTAATTGAGGGTGTCACCCCCACCCAACAATTTAACCATTTTTTGTATGGTGCCCCCCCCCCCCCCCCCACTACGATTTCAGTGTTCTTACTGAACTAGACATTGTTTATCAGAACGTTTTTACTATTGTTTTTTTTATTGGTGTCACCCCCAAAATGGTGTCACCACTTGCCCACTCCTGTTTTAGATATATGAACTTTCACCGGAATAGCGGGCTAGATCAACGCAAAGCACAGTTCAAGAACTTGACAAATAACTCTAAAGGTTAACTGCGAATTAAAGAAAACATACATCTACTTATCCAAGCGTAAGGCTGAACATTATCGATTTTGTTCCTAATGTAGGATTTGGGGAATATCTAATGTCTCCGCCGTCTCCTCTCCCAATCAGATTAATCTTCTTGTCGATATGATCATGTATCCATGACGACAGTTTCTTGAAAAATTAACTCGCTGAATCTTGGGAAAAGCCAGTCCTAGTAAACTTCAGGACAGATAGAGAAACTTGATGTTCTGACTAATTGGGAGCCTAATACGGTGTTTTGAAAATGGGGCTCAATATGAAATTTTGACATAGTGAGGGACCAATATGGTGTTTTGAAAAAAAGTGAGGACCAATATTGGTGTTTCGACAAAATTGGGGGCCTAAAATGTTGTTTTGAAAAAGTGGGGCCCAATATGGTATTTTTACATAGTGGGGGGGGGGGCTATATGGGGTTTTGACTAAGTGAGGGGCCAATATGGTGTTTTGACTAAGTGGGGGACCAATATGGCGTTCATACAAAATCGTTCCTAACATGATGTTGTGACATAATAGAAACCTAACACGATGTTCTAATTTAGTGAGCGGAATCCAAAATTGTAAATAATGTTGTCAGTATGTTATGTATACACATTTAACCATAGCATCTCCCATAAAAGCTGAAAGTGAAATCTGGCGTATAACTTAGAATCTAATATTGTATAGACAACTTCTAATTCAATTTTGTATATTGGAAATCATGAATTGTTGTAAACTCAGAAACATATTTTTAAAAATCCTGGAGTATTTCCCACTGTAGATATTCCTCAAACTTGTTCAGACACTATTCTGTCTCTGCTCGTCTCAGTTTAACAAGCAAGACGAATTCTTTAATCTGTCAAACAGTTTCCCCGCACGCAACTAATTTCTTAAAACATGGCTGACTTGATTCTCGTCTGCTGTGTGTCTGTCATATCCGAATGTCCGTCTACGGTGATGCATTGATTTCTACTCCCAGTTTTTTTTTTGTTTATGCCGGTCACTCTGACGTTGTACATGTCAGTATTTCGTTGTGCGGGACTGTGTAAATCAAATGTCTATTAAATTAAGTGTCTGTATTAATTATGCGTCTGTATTAATTATTCGTCTGCATTAATTAGGTGTTTGTGTTATATATATATTTCTATGTTAATTAGATGTCTGTGTTAATTAATTGCCTGAATGTGTATGTATGTGTAAATCTAATGTCTGTATGTGTAAATCAAGTGTCTGTATGTGTAAATAGATTTTATGTGTAAATCTAATGTCTGCATGTGAAATCAAGTGTCTGTATGTGTAAATCAAGTGTCTGTATGTGTAAATCTAGTGTCTGTATGTGTAAATCAAGTGTCTGTAGGTGTAAATCTAATGTCTGTATGTGTAAATCAAATGTCTGTAATGTGTAAATAGATTTTATGTGTAAATCTAATGTCTGTATGTGTAAATCAAGTGTCTGTATGTGTAAATAGATTTTATGTGTAAATCTAATGTCTGTATGGTGTAAATCAAGTGTCTGTATGTGTAAATCAAGTGTCTGTATGTGTAAATCTAATGTCTGTATGTGTAAATCAAGTGTATTAGTAAATCGAGTGTGGCCTGAGCTAAAATAAAAGCGCAATAATTTTTGCAGCTCATGTTTCTTACATGGGCAGTGCTAAAATGACGTCATTCGCCTCTACGTTAAATTTAGGCTTTTTTTTTTAAAAACTATTATTACCTAATTCTTTATCTAATTAACTGGACATTAATAGTCTACTTTCATTTAATTAACTTTTTTTAAATTTGTGATTGTCATTTCTTTTCAGCAGCTTTATACATCTATGATTTGTAATCGGTTTATTTTTAGACTCGATAAAAATAGTAGACACACGTCATATTTTGAGCTATTTTCGTTGAGCTTGTGTACATGACTGCCATGTGAGTTATCATCATGTGTTGATGTTACTCATACAAAACATATTATCATAAGCATTAATTTATTTTTTTCTGCCTTTTCATAAGCAGTTCAAGATTTCTAAATACCCAGCACATGTATAATAAAAAACTAAAAATAAAAGGTTGAAGAAAAAAAAAAAGGGGGGGGGGGGGGGAATGCGTATTGGTCTTCATTGGTTTCCATGGTGACCGGAATCTAGTTAATGCGATTGCAAAGCGACGCATGAGCAGAACTTTCCGGTGTAGCCCCAGCGTCCGCTGATTAGCCGGTGTCAATAGAAGGATTAGCCATTTCAAAATTTCTCCTGTCATCCCTTTCCTTCTCCCCCCCCCCCTTTTCTCCGTTTGTCTGCCCTCTATCCCTCTTGTGTTATTTTCTTGCTCACGTTACAGCCTTTTCTTTTTCTTGCTTTGATTAGCTGTATTTCTCTTTAAGGA